GTGTAGGGGGGGGGGCATGGATATGTTCTTACGCTCAGTAGAATTGTAAATGGACTGATTAATCAATGTCAAGCTCATAACTGTTCCTGAACTGCATGCGGGAAACTGCTGCTTTTTCTTTCCTAATCCTTACTATCGTCATTTTCCTCTATCTGTTTTGGTATGTTTGTCACTCTCTTGTGACCCGCTATTCCCGTGGTGCATTGACATTTGAAGCAGACTTTGTGCTGTTGAAGCTAGAAAGGTGAGCAGAGTACGCCTGATTCTCCGTTTGGACTTCTCTGTTGACATCCATCCCTTTGCGCTCATATAACCTAATGCAGTTGCGAGCCCGTAATAAGCTTTACTAAAACTAATCTGAATACTCCGGAACAGAACACGTAGTCAAGGAGTGATGTCATGCCAACATTCAGAGCGTTGAAGACCCTTAGCTTGTCCAGCCTTATTTTCACTTCTTTTCTTCTAATTTTTCTGGGGGGCGGGAGGGGAGGGGGGTAGCTTTTCTAATTAGAGGTGAAGAAATTGAAAAATCGATATTTTCGTACAGGGTCGACCTCTGTAGTTTGAATTGTAAACGTTGGTCGGTTTAAAAAAATATTAAATACCTTCACTTTACTCTCATTTTTAGAAAACCCAGACGGATTTATGATAGAAATTCTGTTGCCGTTTATGAATAAATGAATTAAGATAACTTAACGTTCAGTTGCTTTTAGAAGCTAACACGGAGACGCAGTCCTAGTTTATCAGACTGATCAAAGAGAGATCACAAGGTACGATATGTGACTGTACGTGAGAGTAGTTTTTTGTTGTGTTTTTTATTTGAGTTTTTTCTTTGTAGATTGGTTCGGAAAAATAGAGGAAGGGGGTTGGGGGGGGGGGGGGGGGGTGTTGGCCTCTAACATTCACCAATTTTTCAGACAAAGACAACACAGCAATTTGATCAATTAATTAATCTGTCAAGCGTGGGTTCACCTCAGACACGGCTTGTAGCCTTTTGTGAAGACACAGAAGACAGTCGTCCATTTACCGGGAAAATGGAGAGAGACGGCCAATAAATTATCTCCCCTACTGCGAGCCAAACAAAGACTGGGGTTAAGAGGTGCATGTTTTGTCTCTCTCTATGAGTCGCGGCTATCGAAAATTATCTGTCTAATGCGATAATTGCTCTATGGAAAAAGACACTGAAGAGGATATTTCCTCTGAAGCTTCAAAGTTACATGAATTTGTAAAAAAACGGTTTCTGGATTATCTTGCTTAGCTTGGTAAAATCTAGATTATCCTGCTTACTTGGTTGGAGAATAGGCATCATTGCAGGAGGCGCAATTCTATAGCTGCTCCTCCCTCCTCCCCAGGATCCATGAAAGGGTCTGCTTGCTGATAGTGCCAGTTATCAGCTGGTTGGATATTCTTCTGTATTTTTGGCCAAAGTGTGAAAGATAGACGAAACAACACTTACATACAAACTGCGCTACCGACTGTTTATGATAAACAGTTGGCATATTACAAGCTGTACAGCATTGCTGAAAATATGGCAGTAAAAAAATAATTGATTGGCGTCCCTCGTGACTCGTTGGAGCAGAGGAAGATAGGACTCATGCTAACACTACTTAAACGCAGTCCCACATCATCACTCATCTCCATCATTATTTCTAAAATCATATTTGCTCTCAGATCTATAATCCTGGAATCTCTCTCTGTAACAGTTACTTGTCATACCAGGTATGCGCACTTTGTTCTACTAATCAGATGGCGTCAATCTCATATAAAAGGTCACGGGATGAAAATAAACCCCAAATAATTGTTTGTGTCGCTGGTTTTTTTTCTCAAAAGTCGAACAAAATGCATTACAATTAATTCATTTTTCCAGATGCATACTTCCAATAAAAAGAGAACACGCATGCTTTTCGTCAGTACATGTATAACGCGTTATTCAACACAATGACTTTGTTTGAAATGCCTTTACACAGGTTGGACATAGATTAACTTTCACATTTGACTAGAACAACAGTTGATATGTAAGAAGCTGTTTACACCGAAGTGGATAATATGTGAGGCATTGTCGTAAATTAGGCGCACGTCAAAATAATGAAATCGAAGAAAAGGGCATTTTCCACTCATTTTGGCAATTTTTATCGAATTTTGTTTTTTGCTGCAACACCTTTAATGTCCATGTAAAACACATTTCTGTGTGAATAGTCTGGAAAATGTTAATTAAAAGCACAAATTATATAATTTTTCATTTTTTCAACGCCCCCCCTGTCCCCCCTCTCTCCCCCATCCTCCCCAT